AAGTGCTAGTAGTATTAAGGGTCCCATGGGGAAAGAAATACAGGACACTGGACTCCTGAGGCATTCTGTTTCTGCCACTTACCAGCTGTGTGTCTTCAAGCAACTTCTTCAGTCTCTCTGATCCTTATTTTCTTTCTCTGTATGTGAGCATAATTCCACCTACCTTCCTCCAGAAATTTAAAAAATTAAATGCGTCAAATGCCTAGAAATTGTGCCAGGCACATTTATAAGGACCTCAGAAATCATGACAGTTGCTATTGTTATCAGTCCCTCCATGTTCACATGCAAAAACGGCCCAGAGACCCAAGGAGATTTGCTCCCAGATCCCAGTGAGAGTGGAAAGTATGACTAGTGACAGAGTCAAGACCCCTGGCATTTTAGCCAGACTTGTAAAACTATAGGCATGGTTTAATCAAGGACCGCTGTAGCCAGCAAGTGACATCCATCACACACATCTCGACATCTTTAATTTCTTGTTATTTTAAGGGTATTTTTTTAACCTCTAATGCGTACCATCCTCATCTTACGGTGATTGCAGATGGGCATCGCAGACTTGGGGGAGAAATCATAGATTAGGGTTACAAGGAGCCTGTCTGGTGGGTTTTATATTCCAATTCTCTTTGCCACCTGAGTTATAAACCAGCATGCTCAAGGAACCATTTGTTTCATGCACCCGGTAGTCACAGCACGTGTGAAACTGAATTTGGTGGAAGCTTGAAGAGATGGCCGTCTTTCCTGAGGCCTGTTTACAATGGTAAAAATGTCTGTCAGTTCATTTAACAAGTACTACTCTAGTAGCTGAACGTGCTCAGTAGTTGCTCCTCTCGGGAGGTATCACACCTGTAAGAGCCAAGATGTGCATATAAATTTTGTAGAATACACGAAAGAAAGTGCAGAGGGCTCTGATAGGCGGAGCCTGGGGCAGGCAGAGCTTCCAGATGGGGGAGTGAGGACGGCCTTCGCAGAGGGGGCGGCCCCTGCACATGGATCTTGAAGGACGGGTCACCACTGGTTGAGACTTGAAGGCTGTCTTTAGAAAACCCAACCTGTTCATAAGTAAGGATGCTCTTCGGGTTGTTTGTCTGCTGAGGAATTGAGAGAGCAGCCCCAACAGGTCAACAGGTGCCGCTCTTTCTTGTTTTCTTTTGAAACAGGCACATAAATGTGAAATAGTCTTTGTTTGAATGAGAACACGTCAGAAGGGAACCTAAGATACTTGAGTTAATACCAATCACCTCCATGCTGATGTTAAAACCCTCACCATATGGGACTACGTTTCTAGCTGTGGGGCAATGTATTTAGAAGTATTTGACGACCTCGGGGTTAATCAGAAACCATCGGACGATCTCAGATACATTCTTAATGAACTGCAGTGGGTATTATAATACTGGTTCAGCAGTCTGTAGTTATTCAGAGTGGCACGTCAGTGAGCTCAGAATTCAAGGCTGAAGTAACATTCCTTTCTCCCAGAGCCACACTCACACCATTAGTCTTTCAGCCTCCTAGAATGTTCTTTCCAAGCCATCACTGAGTGTTCGTCTGGACAGAATTTCTCTGAATGGTTGATGTAATATTTAAAAGGAAAAAAAAAAAAAAAAAACCACTCAAACCCTTGATACTTTGAATTTTCAAGTGGACCATGTTTGAACTTTTTCCACCAGCTAGGAGGTCGAATCCATTGAAAATGCTACACAAAAAGAATAGCATATTGGGTTTTTCTTTTTTTTTTTAATTTAATTTTATTATGTTATGTTAATCACCATACATTACATCATTAGTTTTTGATGTAGTGTTCCATGATTCATTGTTTTCATATAACACCCAGTGCT